ACTGTGCAGGGCTGTTCTAATCACTTCATCTAACGCGTCTGTGACGATCGGAGAAGCAGAAGCCGTGCATATATCCGGAACTCCATGTTTGCAATGACATTCTTCATTTTGCTAATGCTGAACTAGCACATCCGGTAAAAATGAGGGTGCACTGAATATCGCATAGTGAATGGTGCTCAACCAACGGCACACAACCTAATGAGCAACTATTTCCTCAAACACTCTCATTTCACTTATTTGAACGGTAGAAACTCTTCCACTCTTTATAATGACTTAGGCATTTTGCTGTGAGCAACCCTATTTCCCATTTTATTTTCTTTACACATTAAAATACTTCCCATTTCCACTAAATTTATTAGAAGTAAGTACACTGCTAACGGGGTAACGAGTAACATCGTTCCTACTATCGAATCAGCTTCGGCGCTCAAAGGGGGATGAATAAAGTTGAGCGGTCGTCGTCATCCCGGTTGCTTATTTCCAACGCTTCTAAGTGCCGTGACTTAACTTTCTCTCCTGCACTGACAAATTTCCGAGTCTGATAAATGCTTCTCGCGCCTCTGGTCGTGAGTGACCACATTATCCCAACTTCATACACTGTTAAGTATATTAGTGTGTTTTTATTTCATTTTATCGCTGTCATCGCACCTTGACGCGACTTTCCTTATAGTAAAAAGACTTATTTTATGCAATGTGACTCATACTGCTTCCAGTATCCTGTGATTTGGTCTTTAAATCTTGTCTGCCAACATTTTTCATTAGCGATTGTACTATAAACCCATTATTTTCCTCAGTCATCTTCAAAATAACTTCACTGGTTGCGCGTTCCACTAAGGTCATCTCCAAGTACAGTAGACTGCCAGACAGTCTCCCGTAAACTTTATCTTTACTAAGTATTTCTGCGCATGTGACTTTTCATAAATGCTTTTAAATGACCCCTTTTACCTCCTTAACGGTGATTTACCAAAACTCTTTCTTTTTCGCACACTCGCTCGAAATTCTGGGTTCTGTTTTCTCACACTGCATTTAATCATAAATCTACGTTACCGTAGCTATCACCTTTTCTTGTGGACTCCAAGAAAGTCACCAATGTTTTCTTGTAACACACGCATATTTCACTTTCCACCATTTACTTGTACTTTTAGCTTACTGTCGTCTCATTAAATCCGCAGCGCTTGTGTGAAACGCTGAGAATATGCCCAGATTGGTGAATAAGGCCTATTTTGAATTTATTAGACAAAAGAGTTACGCTGCTTTGTAGCAGGCGAAGAAGAAGTGATATTAGTCATAATTAACAATTCTGTCCAACTGGTTAAACCCTTTTGATAGTACAAGTATAACTTTTTAATATTATTAATATAAAGTCTTCGAATATCAACATTTTGTCTTGAATAACCTAGATAACAGAAGCTGAAATCTTATGACCCAATACATCGATCAATTGTCTTCTTTTTATGCTTGTCTGGGTTGCTAGCAGTATCGCACAAGCACTGCAACAGAATCTGTAGATTCCCCACATTTTCCGAGTTAACGGTTCGGTCTGCCAGGCTGTCGCCCAGGTAGGGATATACGAGATCCAGACCAAATATGACTTCATGTGTAAACCGCCCTGATGATTCCGTCGTCTTGCTTGACACAAGAGAGTCGCAGAAAACTGATTGGGGCCGATTATTGTGGTGATGGTGTTCTTGATACTATCGCAATCCTGTGCGAGAATATGGTGGTATACCTTGGGGAGGTTTGTTTCACTTAGCACCGACTTAATCCCTAAACTGGTGGTAAGATCCAATATGTATGGGCTAGGATATTTATCGGGAACGGTGCACTTGGTAATCTCAGCAGCATCCACAATTGCCGGTCCTCTTTGGTGGGGAATGAATGCCCCCACCGACTTTCTGAAAGCCCAGAAATACAACCTTCGTTTAAATGCTTGGATTCCGCCATGGCCACTTTCAGTTTATCCGAAGCGGGAAATCGTAGCTGAGAAGAGATTAGTTGACGAGGGGTTCACGCGGTGCGCGTGACGTTAAGTTCTACTAGAAAAGTGACATTAGAAGACCGAACGAGCTGCAGCAACGGTCTGGACAGATCCGAGACTTTTTGTTAGTCTCCGACTGAGCGTACATAGGAACGAATGTCAGTGGATTCCTGAACTCCATTCATAGAAGGTTGTTTACTTAAAGATTGCACTGACAGTAGTCGATGAGTAAACCAATTCTGCAGTAAATCAATACCCTAAGTGATGAGGAGTGCGGTAGCTACTGTTAATGATCCAATGATCTAACGAGATTGTTCACAAGAGAAGTCTGGCCCAGAAATCCGACGAGAGTTTCCTTAGTTGTGCATAGGTTTGTTGTCTTCGACCTGGTCACCGTGACCAAGAGCGGTGATATCACACTATGTTCAGCTCTAGTTTCCACTAGAATAAGACTCATGGGTCCCAATCGGCTTTCTGGAATGGACGAACTACGATATTTCAACCGCCCACATCATTTACCACTAAATCCCGACCCGTTCTCTTTCCGTTATCTTGCAGAATAGGATAATAGTAAGTTCTAGAAGAACTGCAAAACCGTGCGTAATAACGGCAGATAGAACATCGTGTCCGGTTACAAATCTGCCCGCGTGAGCAGTGTGTCCACACGTTACTGCTAGTTTAGGTGCAAACGCTGAACTTCCTGTAGGGTTGTGGTTACTTCCAGTAGACGTCTCTGTGTGGAGAGCTTTCACACATAATTATGTCATGCTTTCGGCTACGCGGATTATATTAGACAAAGCCGTCCAATATACTACCCGCGATATCGGAAATCTCTGAAAACTGATCGCGATTAGCACGCTTCCGAGCAAACGCTGCGACCAGGGCCGGTGGAGCATTGGTTCACAGGCAACTTAGAAGTTAGTGCATTCGAGGCACGAGCGTCCACGGCTTCCTGTCTCTTATTTGCATACCACCAAGGGGCTGCAGCAGACACTTTTTTCAAGTGTGTCGCATTTTACCACAACGTCCGTCTACTTTCCTGTGGGTTAGTCGCACCAAGTGTGAGGATTTGGTCACTAGGCCTGAGGGCTGTCTATTTAGGTAAACACAAGTTGTTCGTGATTTGTCTTGTGCCAACTATCATGTCTAACCCATAATGTGTAATCCACATCCACACATGGATTACCTATTAGAGACTGGTTGAACATTAGTCCCCACGATTTTCGGAAATGGTACTAATGCCAAGTTCTAGAAACATATTTTCTAACAGTGAACCAACGAGTACAACGCGATCGTCTCGGAGAACTTGAACTGATTCACCAGTTATATAGCAGCTTGTGTAAGTACCGCTCAGGTGCTCTCTTGAAATATTGTTTATCAACTACACAAGGCACTGAAGGTAGATTCTATTGAACAGGAGCAAGTGCGTTCATCCGGAACCCAGTTAGAAGAGAAAACCCGCGATAGTAATGAGTGATGGGCGAACCAAAACCCTTAGAAAAAAACCAGTTTATCGAAAACATGCTGAAGAAATATGCAGATGATAGTCGAGTGGCAACGAATTTGGGTTGCAGTATTTGTTAGTAACGTTTTTGTTCGTTTCGATACCTTCCGGTTTATTAACAGAACATCGTTTCTCAACTTTTGCCGAGTACATCAAAACGATCTCAAGTTTTCACTCTAAGCGCAATGCTCGTCATCCGACAACACCTTACCGCGAGCAACTGGGGTACGAGCATGTTACTTTCTTCACAGGAAAGCAATAACCGATTACCATCTGTGTATGCCCTGATGCCTTGACGCAACGGATAATTATGCAAGCGCTTACTTTTGGTTGATGCAGGGTCACACCCAACAATTAATGAGTACTCCACCTATCACCAGATCTACGTTTTCAACCTGATCACATTTAGAAGCAAAGACTACACTTGTATTTAGTGGCCGCGATCAACACTCCATTTACTTTGACCTAACCTATTTTCTGATGTAATCTCAACGTTCGTTTGTCTGCATCACAATTTACACGCTTGTTTACAACGTGAACCATGTCGGCAACTCAAACATTGTTGTTTTCTTGTCATTTCCATGTTTAGCCTGTTTTACATTCACTTCAGCTTTTTTGTTTGCACGCTTTTCACTTTTTATTTAAACTCCCTCACACCATTATGATTTCCACAATGGCAGCAAAGCCATCACGCCCAGCAAGGATAAGCTTGTACACCGTGAGTTTGTCACCACCTATTGGTGTTTCGAAGATAAAGGTTTTAACACTGATTATATGATGTTTTCATCTGAGTGTATGTCCAGCATAGAGCTTCTAATTTTGTACAAACTACAACTTAATTATCAGACCGTGCGCACATATCAGACAACCCAAGAAGTCACGATTCAGAATGAATCCATTCAAATAAATTGAATCTGTAGAATCTTTACGCCCAACTTGCTAAAACATCCTGTCAACTCTACTCGTCTAACCGTGGAGTTCGAGCCTAAATGCTTCTGTTTTTCCCGTTGTAATCTTCATACTAATGCCTTCACCACAGTGGCGTTATCCATCCCAGGCACCAGACTTTGGGAGACCATAGTGCCTTTATTGTGGCTGGAGACGTCATGTTGTTTAGGTATCATCAACGAGCGTTAGTACCCAGTTCTACGGATTCTCACAAAGTTGGATGCTTTTTCATGTGTTGCAGTCCGCTAAGAACAATGACTACCACCGTCCATACTTCTAAGAGTAGGCGCTGCTTGTGAGGTCATTTAGGCTGAAAGTGATTTCTGCCGTGGACGATTTGATCTTAGGTGAGAAGCTTTGCACCACGAGCCTCACATATCCTCATTGGGCTATAGCATTGCAAATAAACTAGTGGATATTGTGGTGTTAGAATAATGTGGCCCGTTATTGTAACTGTGGCGAGTGTTGCAGTATTCGGAAGAGTCATCGGGACTCTATCCCTGTTGAATGCGCCGTCAGCAATAGCATGTTCTTCACCAGAGTTTAAAACTGATCACAATCTTTGTCCATTACATGTGGGCTCGCACTGTTTCAGTTGTACGTCTTATCCTGGCCTTGCTGTTTCCATTCAGTCCACAGGTAACTAATGCAATGTAAATTTGGCAAAAGTCGTTTGCTCTCATGCACACTGACTGACACTCTGAGTTAAATTTTACGGCGATCGAGTGTGGATGATATTCTTCCTCCATGAGTTCAAGTGGGACTGGAACGATAGGATGAATCCCGTAAGTGTTCCTTCTTGTGCGGGTCGTCGATCCAGGAGTTGATAGGGGTGCTCCGACTTCTTGATGGGTCTGAAACGAAAATCCCCGAAAAACTCCCTGGTCCATCTGAAACAACATCAGGGCGGTGGCCGGGCCGTAGCCCTTGATCTTCACCACTCATTGAGCCTAGTACCGTTATGTTTACACTACACCCCGTCCCTACAACAGGGGCACGCAGCCATAGGCCGCATGCATGTCGCGGGTAATAGACAGGCAGGCACCCTGGTCAACAGGCGCTGTGTGTAGCAGACAAGTCCGCAGGCATAGAAAAAGAAGATGACGAGTAAATGGACTCGTACTGGTACTAATGTCAGCCACCAGCTGATGACAACGCGAACGAAGCCTGTTCAATAACTAGTTACTAAACGTCGCCAGAAGTCGAATCCCTTAGGTAGGACACGAAAGTCTCGGATTTTTCCTAGTAGCGACTTTTATATTTTGTTGTAATCGCCTGTCCGGGAGTGTTATCCATGGGCTAAGTGACAATAACGGGATTGCTTCAAACTAGGATTCCATACTTCGATTTCAGACATTTTCCTTGTTGAAAGCACTATTTGCTTCAGATTCATGTTCGCCTAAGGTTCTCAGTAGCCTTAACCATCTTGACTGCTACATCTGCAAGCAAAAACTATAAACGTAGCCGCACACATTTCCTGTAAATCGCGCTGAGTCTTCCGTAATCTTCTACATTCTCAGCGCTAGAACGATATTATCTCCAATTTGTACTTAGTAGTAACACTCGAATAGATCTTGTATCCTGATGTGATAACTTGATCGCATTTGTCCACCGATATCCTCACAACACAAGCAACACACGATAGTGCCGCCCAAAAGTCCCACTGGCAAACTTTTGTCTGCATTCAGTTTGATCTCTCTTCTCCTCCCCTAAATTACCATTAATTTTTCTGAACTTTATATTGTGTGTTGTGGATCTTCGAAAGTGGCAAGCTGAATCTTGTTGCGCGCCGATTCACTCCAAGTCACTATACTCACATTTAGCATTCCTTTACTCTGAGTCTCATCAACCGTGTTTTTTAATTCATTGTGCTTTATTTGTTAATTGCTTGCGCTGTCGATGCAAGAAACTTACTTATGTATTGTCTCATTAGTAATTATGTTTCCCACTTCCAATCATGCATCCATCTTTTACATGTTCCCACTTTAGAGGTGGGTGAGAAACACCCCAGCTAATGTGCACATGACTCATTCAGAATATGCAAAACGTGATTCCCTCGTTAGTAGCCACTCGTCTACTTGTCAGGCACTGCAGTTTTTAATACGTACTAACTCCATGTGCCTACAGATACCCTATTTCAATCAACTGGTTTTATTAAATTGTTGATCGTTAGTTTAGTTGAAACAAACTTGGCTTCGGTTAGTTTGTTTTATAGGATGGCTAAAAAGGTCTAGTAGAATTCCACCATGGTCCAAACGCTTTATTCTATAAGTTTAGAATGCAACAGCTATGTCTTTTCACAACAGTGCCAGACTTATCTCTCTTTGATGTTATTCAACCAAACGATAACGTGTTGCCCTCGGATATGTTCGAGATCCTGGTTTTGCTTTGTTGTGGTAGACTTGATTGGCTCATGTGTTCTTCACATTCTACTAACAATCATCAGACCTTGGTTATCCAGACAATTTTCGGCAGTTTTACTTGACCCTCGCGTTTTCAGTGCCTCATAACTGCGTTCAGCAAACCCTGTTTTTTTACGGTTACCGAAAGCGTCCGTTGTAGCGTTTTAAGTGATCTCGCTGGACTATTTTGCTGCTTCGTTTTCGAAGTCGCCTATCGTTGAAAACGTGAGCAGTCACAAAACCGCAACGCAAACAGTTGGGTCAAGGGCGCTTTACGCATCAACACCCATAGCTCCACCTGCACACCCAGATATCCTATGTAGACCTAAAGGAAGAGAGCTATGAGGCATACGAATGGGATCCATTGTTTATTCGAAGCACACATACACTGTGGACACTGAATACATACACACATGGTTGGCGGCATCCGGTTCCGGGTTTTCCTGTCACTGCGACCTCCATAGGACATCAACAGTACGCTTGCGTCTACAGAGGTACCATGAGTGGCTTGTGCTGCACCACCCACACACCCCATATTCAGTGTTAACCCGAAGGAATAAGACCGGGAAGCATGTGAATGGGAGCTATGGAGCCGGCCCACACTCCTTCAACACGCACAGTAGCAGCATTCCTGTCTATTTTTGTGGGAATCATGCGTATCAGACGTACACAAGGCGGTGGTTGGACCGTAGTGCGCTCAACATTGAGTACATGGAACCACGTACAGATATACTCATTGTGAAAGGGCCCTATCAGCAACTGTTAGCAGTCTCATGCAACTGGTAATCGAGATGGCAGTGTCTCGTCAACATTCATGTCCTATACGGGAATCAACGTCACGCATATAACACGTCAATGCATACCATTAATATCGCTGCAGCGACTATATCACTTTAGCCTCAGGATTGGAGCAGTGCGTGAAAAAGGTTTGAAGCAGCACTTTTTGGTTGTGCGGACACAGACTCTTCGTGACCACGCTTCTTTTGGGACAGACGGCCGCACTTGCAACAACATCATATGCGCACTGATAACATGCGTGTTGGCCGTTTCTGTTCCAACTGCACTAGTTTTTCTTCGGGCATTTGCAAGACGGCATTCTCGCTGCGGTCACATGTTATTGACGTTTCACTGTCATTTCTCCCTAACACATTAACACAACAGTAGTTCGTGACAAAATCATCTTGACCATGTCCTATTAGCGTACTTTCAAATTGCCTGCATTCCGCTTCCTGGACACAGTTTTCCATACAGCAGTTGTTTCGGAAGTCTCGTTACACCGATACAGCAGGCATTTCTGAGGCACCGCCGGTCACACTAGCAGCATACAGCACATGGCTTGCGCCACATAGCAGCCGCAGCTGAATTGTTTAGTAAACGCGATTTACATACGAATGAGCCTGTGCCTTCAAATTTACTTTGGTTTACATTGGTCACAGCCGGATGGGCCGCCACACGTTTGACCTACTTTCATTGATGACACACAAATTTTTGGCTCGGGACAATTAATGTTATCGCATTGATAATTGTTTCGGTTGTGGGCCACTAGCGCACGTCTGTCAGTGAGCTTGTAACAGTAGTGGCTTCTAGGTCACTCACTGTTTTCGTCCATGAATGATCACCCGATCCTTGTCAAACCATGTAAAATATACTAAGGTGAACTGTACCACGCTTTTAGACATATGAATTCGATGATGTATATCGCATCTATGCCTGCTCTTCTTGGTGGACTGTATACTGCGGTGGCCATGTTAAGCGTTAGCGTACAGTAACAACCCCCGGACTCACTTCCTAAACGACGTTAGACAACAGAGCTAAAACCGTAGATTCCCAATCAGCAAGGTGCTCGTTTTAGTGCACTGACCTAGGAAGCGGACAGTTTCATGTCCCTTATTGACACCCTTGGCGTCGTACTCATGAGGTGGTGTGACGGGGTCGGATGGGTCAGAAGTGGTGGCTATTTGATCATAACAGTTCTTCTCGACACTTAAAAGCTGCTCGACCTTTTATCGGGACAACATCTACCCCCTAAGCATGTTTCCGTCGCAACGCGATTGGACCTTCAGGTGGTACGAATGTTTTTGTAGCTTGTCTGCTATAATGGGTGGGTCTCTCGGGCCCCCTAAGAGCTACACCTTCCACGTTGATCAATGGTCGGAGGTCAGACGAACTCAGTCTCCGAGATCCCCAGGTTCGGGGTTTGAAATGGGTTGGCATCCATTTCTGTAAAACCCAATCATTGTCACATCCGCTGACTTTTGGACAGGATTTTAAGCCAAAGGCTTTGGTTGAAGACCTTAATTTTTATCCTGGCTAGGTCTGCGCGTCCTGGCAGTATCTCAGCCCACGTACATCCATGACTACTTCCTCAAACTCCAATCACATGTTGCATCGGCTTTTGCGCAGCTTATCAAGGGTCGCCTTGTTTGCTGTATACAGCAGGACGGATAAGCGAAAACATGCTACTGCCGGCGCCTCCCTTCTTTCCTTTCCACCTGTTTCTCTTACTTTCCTCCCAACCCCCATTACTAACCTTTCCCCTATAATTTCCAGCTTACTTGACAGAAGCCGAAGTGCCACTGCAGTTCTACTAGCTGTAGCTATCTTCCCGCATCACACACTGGGTCCCTATCGGCAACAGCCTCTTATACTTCCACACTGTCCGTTTACCTAGCAGCGTTTAACTTTCGCACTCTAAGACAAATAGGCCAACAGGTTGCACTCGCACGCACGTTGGAGACAATGAGTATTGACGTGTGTTGTGTGTCCGAAACTAGATACAATAACCCTCACAGGTTTGTTGTATTAACTGCGCCCGGCTTTTCCTCTCGCTATTGGTTGCACACATCGGAAACTCTGATGCGGCAGTCACTGGTCAAGTGGGGGTGGGCGTTATTCTTAATTCTGAGGCTGAGTCACTGTTGGTTTCTTGGACTTCCGTGAACAGCCCGTTTGACGACATCAGCTAAGGTTGACTCACGAAGTAGAACAAGACGCTGTTTGTGATTTCCGCTTGTGTCTCACCGATTGAAGTTCCGATGCTCCCAAGGACACATTCTAGCACTAACTGAACACGGTACTACTCAGTGTTACCAGTTCAGATATCACAGCTCTTGCAGGGGAAATGAATGCGCAAGTAAGTCATCCGAGGTGTTCAGAAGCTCAACTAGGTAGTAAGTATGGACTTAACTTAACGACGAGCGTCTGTTACAGCCGTGTGCGGAGCACCGGCTCTTTCTT